AAGTGGCGGGGATTTTGGGGGTACTTTTCACGTAGTTGGTTGGAGCAATTTGGTGTGGAGGTCTGGAACGTTCACGGTTTAGACAACGAGCTGGTTGCTTGCACAAATAACACTCTGGAGCGGTATAATCGAGAGCTAACTAACCGCATTCCAACCCACCCATCGATGACTAGCTTTGTGAGCGTATCAAGACGTTGTCGGCGGAATCTGTTGGTCGTCTCGCGGATATTCCACGTGTCCGTGCACGACGTATGACACGAGAGGTCATTCAGCTCACCATGCCCGTTGAGATTCCTCCAGACATTGAAGACGACTCAGACGGCGATGAGCCTGTGGCGCTCGAGCAGGCGTCCGACGGCAGCTCGGACGAGGTGCAGGCCACCCTGGGGATCACACTGTAGACCTAATGTATCGGCATCATAAACAAGTTAGCACAGTTGCAATCGCTTCCGTAAGACTGAGAATACCATAGCTGATAGCTTACCCCTTTGCACAAATGCTGTTCCTTAAACTGATCACAAGGATCCGTTCCAGGGTCTGATCTGTTCGGTATTCGAACCAAAAATAAATTTACCGCACAAATGCATGTTGTTGATCCGAGCCCGAATACGATGGGACAGACTTCTTCACCAATTCACTCAAGGGCAGTACGATCTGTGCGAAATTGCAAATGAAGCGACGATAGTGACCAGCCAAGCCCAGGAAACTGAGAAGCTGCTTCGGCGTAGCTGGTTCAGGAAACTGCTCAATCGCCAACGTCTTTCGCTTATCCACCTGAAGACCTTGTCGCTACGCTGTGCGACTAAACAAATCGACTGAATCCGCACCAAATACACACTTAGCGCGCCGTGCATACAATCGTTGAGCTCGTAGCGCGTCGAAAACTTGCCGTAGATGGTCGCAGTGTTCCTCCATTGAATGTAAGTTAATACACATGTCGTCGAGGTATACCACAACAAACTGAAACTTGCCGAAAAGCAATCTCATCAACTGAGACCAGACCTCTGGCATGCCACTCAGTCCCATCGGAGCTACGCACCAGTGATATATCTCCTTGTCGGTTCTGAATGCGGTGTACTTTCGACTGGACGTTGCTATACGCATCTGATGGTAGTCCTGCGCTAAGTCAATTGTAGAAAAACACAGCAGCCTAACTTGCGATCAAATAACTTATCGATCCTTGGTAAAGGGATTTTAGGTACTTCTGTCTGGGTGTTAATATAACGATAGTTCATCACCCACCGCCCGATCCAGATCTGGAAGAGAAACTTCATCCTCCACAGGTCTCTGACATAAGGACCCCTGCGGATCTAGACTCGCGTCCAGATCCCCTAACAAACCAAACAAAGGTGAAGGCTGAACCGTATTCATTCATTGATCCGGATAAACCAACATTATATCTGCCCAAGGACACGCAAGTCTCAGGATCCGAGGTCGGGAAGCCGAGACCCAAGGCTGTGTGAAAGAAGATGAAAGCACCAGATGACGAGGAAGACGAAGATCACCACGGATGTAACTGGTCTGAAGAAGATCCGAAGTCCATGTATCTCCGCAAGGAACTACGCAACTTCGTGGACCAGGATCCAGTGATACGGGTTCTAAAACTCAAGCGGATTGCAGATCCGAAGGAGCCTGTGACGACTCCCACAACAATGGCCAACAGATTTAATTCAGCGATGGAACTGATCCGGCTACTGAAAGAAGCTGGTGTGACCCCTGGATTCTTCGACACAGAGGCTCTGCTTGACTTGGATATCAATGTTACCCAAGCCACCAGTCGCGATCTGTTCCAGAAGTTGAAGATCCTAGTCGGCGAGGTACCCCAGAGTCCAGACCCACTGCCATTGACCACGACCAACGTCATTGATAACGTGACAGTGTCGTCACATTAGGCGTCAGTCGCGGAAGGTGGATCCGACACTTCCTCGGAGCCACCGAGACGGATGTCGCTGGAACTCTCTGGAATATCAATGCTGGAGACGAGATCCAAGATACACCGTTCTAGTCCTACTAGAACCAGTCACCGCGATAATGGATCTGCACCGACGGATCAAGCCACGGCGACTGAGAGTTCAGATCGATCGGTCGGTACCTTACCATAATTCTTCAATGCTGCAATGGACCGATACTTGACCGAAGTACGCAAGGCGCGCAAAGTTCCAGACTCTACACATCCACAACATCAAGGATCACAAGATCTCGAAATGTAATCCATCCGATCCTCCGACCGTGAATCTCGCTGGGAGTACGATCCCGACGATGTAGACTTCCTATCGTCGACACGAGCCACAATGGCCACCGCTGCTGCTGGATCCACAGGATCCACCATGATACAGTGTGTTCGGATCTCGGCGATCTCAGATATAAAGGAGTTTACTGGCAAGGATCAAGACGAAGATCGACCGCGAGCAAAGTGAATCTGCGTTTATGCGAGATCAAGCAGCGGATGACGATAAGTGTTTGACCTTTGCAGATCTTCTTGCTTGATCCGCCAAGAACTGGTATCGCCAGCTAAATAGATCCACTAGCAACAAATGGAGCGATCTGCTTTGCAGTTTCCAGATCCAGTACAGTGGACTTGGAATATCGATAGCAAGACATTACAACCATACGCAATACAGGTCTGACGAATCGCCACTGGACAACTTGTATCGTCTCAATGTGGCTGGACTCTGCGCGCGACAGACGATCAAGGATGGCAGCGCGAAGGATCGACGTGAACATGCGGATCATTACATTGAGACGTTGGAGGATCAAGATCTAGCAGAACGGTTAACCCTGCTGCGGTTGACGGACGCGGATGAAGTCGAAGAAGTCCTTCGCGCTCGGGATCGCGCAAAGAATCGTCAGAAGAAAGCTGCGTTTGGATCTAGCAAGTATCGGCAGAAGGCAACCAATACGGGCCCATCCGCTCCAGCGAAACTAGTGCGTGCAATCCAGATCCAAGCTAATGACTCTAGATCTGACAGTGAGTCTGACGAATGGGGTAAATCTGACTCCGACATCGACAGTCATTGCAGGATCTTTCTTGCAGTGAACGAAGATGTGGCCCCGATGGTGGAAAAGGAGTCGGTGAACATGGATCCACGACTTCCAGGCCGTGATCATGGCCATTAAGATCACAACTCGAAGATCCACGGTAACGGTTTCAACCGCGATCGATGCTCGCATTATGGATCCAGGAAGCACTCAGATCTTGGTTGCTGGAGGCGCGTTACATGCACGAAGGGCGGTAAGAGAGGACATCGGTTGGATCACTGCCTCTTCATGTGCCGCGGATGTGGAGAACTGCATGACATAGGGAAATGTCCATGGAGGAGTTCTACAACCAGATCTGCCAGTGGTTTTACCCCACGAAGCACATGGGTATGTTACCCGAAGCTGCTGAGAAGATGTTAAACTAGAGCGCTCGTCAGGGTGGAATCCGATTCGTGCGTTCTAGATACAGCATCTATGCATTTGTGAACAAAACATCGGTGGATCAGGTTAGCAAACGACCAGATCTACACGGTAATACATGTAATCTACATGGAAACCTACCTTCGCAATCCCCAGTCATCGCCAAGCCGACGAATATTCTAGATCTTAAGTAACCATGAGTGTGGATCTCCAGCCAGGAGAGTCACGAGTTTATTGGAGGCTACATGATCCAGATCTATGGTTTAAACCCACATATCACGAGGATACTCAGCCTAGCTAGATCTCGGAGTACCGACGGTCAACAACCATGGATCTACTACCGGGAGAGTCTCGTGGTTACTGGAAACACCATTCGCCAGGAAAATGATTTCGCCAAGCCAAGATCACAGGCAAGTTCCACAATGAGAAATCGATCTTACTCTTAGATACCGACGCCGAGGTGTCCATCGTGGACACAATCTTTGCTCATAAGGTTGGGTGCTATATCGAGTCAGATCCAGGACTGCATGGGAATTGGTGACAATGTGTACCGAACAGAAGAAAGAACCCGGATCAAGGTGACTCTCGCTGGATGATTGGTATATTTCTTCGATATGTGTGTTAGTGATTTGACTGGCCAACAAGCTATACTTGGTATGGACTTTGTGGTTCCAGCGGGGATCCGCTTGAATTTAGCTCATGCATGAATCAGCGTGCCGGATGAAGTCCGGATCCAGCATAGCAGGAGACGGCAGCTCTATAGCGAAAAGGCTAAGATCGTAAACGTCGGCCAATACCTTCTGATCCAGGCTGGAGAGTCGGTGAAACTGCCCTTGCGCCTGAGGTCGTCGATCCACGACAAGCTGTGGGCCACACGTGGGGATCAACGGGTGCCGATAATATCCGATGGACCAGGGGGAACGAAGTATATCTCGATCACCAACATCGGGAACGAGGTGTTGACTCTGCATCAAGACCAAAATCGGGATGATTGGCTGGGGATCATGTGCCGCGACTACTGGGTTTCATCTCGATCGTGTCTCGTCGTTACATGGAGTGGTAGAACCTAGCGTTAGAAGCCACAACAGACGCTCGATCCGAAGATATGGAGATCAAAGCCCCGCTTGAGCCCGCGGTGGAGCGATACAAATACAAACCTCCGCTTCAATACGCGAGAGGCCGAAGACGACGTCGATCACGTGTCGGAAGGTCGAGGCGAGCCAGGATCAAGATCTTCCTGACTGCCTACCTTCGGACAACTCGCCGTCGAATAACTCGCCGTCGGACAAATGCCCGTCGGAGATTCGACCGCTGGATCTAGTGTCTGTCGTAAGTGAGGAATCGAACCTGTCGTCTATCGCAGATGGAGACTCTATATCGCATGTCGTAACGGTCAAGGAGGCGCTGGAAGATCTCGATCAAATAACGCCAGACGCCTGGGCGACTGATCCGTCGTTGGAGAAATCACAAGTGCAGTGGAAATGCGGCAAGAGGAAAGTCGGGATGGAATTGGAGTCGGCTACCAGGATCAACTACATTTGGGATGTCAGGATCAAGGAACATCACCGTCGAAATGCGGTGGATCAGATCCGTCATCAATGATGAGTGGACAATCTGGGGCGGGACATGTGGTCAGTGATCCGTCGAACGGCAAGTGTGTCGCGCCTATGTTACAAAAACGGACATGGATCCACCACCTGTTGTTGAAGATCAACCCAGACGCGTCGGATCTGGACCTTACCTGGGACTCAGATTATGATGAGTGTGTATACTACCATGAAGGTAGTGATTTGTACGCGGAAGATGTCGACGTTCAGATTGCGGTACTGTCTGAAGTGCCTGTTACGACGGATAATGTGCAGGTCGAAGAGATTCAGCTATGTGGATCTGATAATCAGATCCCAGAAAAAATTGATCGACTTCGCCAAAGGATCTGAAAGTTCTGACACCTCTTGATCGACAAAGGCAATGGCCTGCCGCCGGCTGCCCGAGGTGTTGTGTGCAACTTCGATGTCGGAGGAGTGAGACCTATCACCCTGAAGTGTCGTAAGTTGCAGATCCAGTTCAGGGAGAAGCTGGCGGGCTTGATCTAGGGTCTATTGTCTGCCAAGATGATCAATTACTCTAGATCACTGTGGGCTTCCCCGATCGTGGTGATCATCAACAAGAAAAGAATGAAGTGGATATCAGGCTGTGCATCGATTATTGGTTGGTTAATAGATTAACTCCGTTGATGGTCTACCCAATGCACTTGATCAACGACTTACTCGAAGACCTAGAGTCGACACTTTCGTACTGCTCATTGGATATGGCGAGTGGATTTTGGGTGGTGAAAATGACAGATCGTGCTCGTTTGCTCTCAGCTTTATTACTCCCTTTCGATCATTTGTATGGAATCGAATACCCTTCGGCTTGCCAAATGCGCTCTAGATCTATCAACATATGATCGACAACGCGCTAGATGGATTCATCCGGATCCTAAATCCGAAGATTACTGAAGTTTTTGGATGTGTTTGAGGACGGAGGACCAGTGGATCCAGGCAAAGCATCAGTGCTTGGGCGTAGATCATACATCGACGACATCCTGATCCCAGCCTATAACTGGAATCAACTGTGTGATCGAGTCGAAGGTTTACTCGAAGCGTGTGATAAGTGGAATTTGTCAATCAGTGTGATTACGAGTTTATGGGGGAATGCCTAAGGTGGAATATCTCGGCCATAATGTCTCCCACAATGGACTGGAAGCGAATCCAAAAATCTGTCTGCATTGACCGATCTAGCGTTTCCGGGATCACTTAAAGTCAAGATGGTCATTTTTGGGAAGTTTGAAATATTACAGCCAATTCATCGAAGACTATGCTATTTATGCGTCAGGTTTGTATGTAATGCGAGAGATTGACTTCGCTACGATGATGAAGGACACCACCCAAGCACAGATCCAACGAGTGTTAGAGGTGGAGCGTGTGGATCAAGGATCAGGGAGATCAAGTGGTCGACCACCAAAAGACTTTGGATCTGGAGGCGCAAGATTTCACGGAGGTGGATCCGCGCTGGATCCATGCCTACAGATCTTTCAGTGTTCTTAAATCCAAGATCGCCACTACCCCCATCCCGAGGCACTTTGATCCAGATCGAAGAGCTACGATCGTGGTATACGCTAGTGACTGGGCCATTTCAGGATCACTGATGCAGTAAAATGACATAATCTACCCCCCTTAATATTTGCGAGTCTTACTCTGAAAGCGAATGAGCTGAATTACGGTATCGTGGAGAACGAGGTGTTAGCCTTGCTAAGGATCCTGGATCTTAACTATAATGCCCTGGTCGGACGTCCGATCCATGTGTTAACCCGACACTCTA